TGACCCCTCCGGGTCCTGTCGTCGCTCGCAGTTCTACGTCCCTTCCCTGTCCAGCAGTTCCCTTGGGCTCCCTTACAAGCCTCCACGTTCCCTCGTTCTCGAGGAACCTGGTTGGTGTCGGCTCTCTCCAGGACCTCGGCGTCACCACCACGTTCCTCGGGCACGAGCGGTTCGCTGTCTGTTCTGAGGCTGTCTCAGGTTCCCCCCTTGCGACGTTCCCCCGGGACCCCGTTTCCGGTCTGTTTACCCTAGACATCGCTTCCCCCCCGGTTGGTGCGTCCTCCCAGGTCGCTGCAGCTTGCTCGTGTCGGTCCCTCACTCACCCGTCCCTTCTCTGGCACCACCGCTTAGGTCACCCTGCTCTCCCGCGTCTGCGTCACATGTCCCAGCACGGTCTTGTCTTAAGTCTCCGCCTTCCCTGCCACAGTCGTCGTCGCCGCAGCCGCCGCTGCCGTTGCAGTCGCAGTCACCACCACCGCCGCAGCCGCCGTCGCTGTCGCCGCCGCTGCTGCCGTTGGCCTCTGGGGGTGCTGGCGTTGAGGAGGGTGTTCGTCCTGCGGCTCTCGGGGGTGCCGCTGTAGTTGGAGGGGGTTCTTGCTCTGGGGGTGTTGGTTCAAGGGGTGCTGCTGTTGAGGGTTCCGCCAACAGTCGTCCTTCCTCTGCTGGTCCGAGGGTTCCGGCCCAGCTGTCACAGCAGCCGCAGCAGCTGTCGTCGCCGGTCTCCGCTCTCCGCCAGCTCGGCCTTCCCTCCCTGGACCGCGCGCCGGTGTCTCCCCCACCGCCTGCTGACCTTCCTGTCTATGGTCCTGTGTTCCCGTCTTCCTCCTCGTTCCCCTCCTGTGCCCCCTCCGCTGTCCCCTGACCCTACACCTCCGTCTCACGTTTGGGCTCGCCGTTCCTCCCGTGCTCGTCCCGTCTCTCCTGCCGTGCCCACCCACCCTATGTTGCTCCGTTCCCGCTCGTCTCATCCTCCTCCCGTCCCCTCCTCCTTCGTCCCTTGCGGTTGCACCTCCTCCGTTCTCTGATTACCTCCGAGCTGTTCGTCCCCTTGTCCCTCGGGTCCTTGCCTCTCTTGTTACCGACCCTGCTATTCCTGTCTCGCGCCTTGACGCGCTTGTCGCTGCTGTCGCTGACTTCGCCTCTACCCGCCGCCTTGACTACGCTACCTCTCTGGTCTCTGACCCTGCCCGTCCTCCGTCCGTCGGGGGTGCTCCTGCCCTTGGCAGTGACGTCCTAGAGGACAGGCAGTACGAGCTTGCTTTCCTTTCCGAGGCTGCTCCCCATCTCTGCTCCATGCTGTTAGTCCCTGAGGGTGACCCAGACGCCTTCGACATCCCGACCCCTCGCACCTACGTTGAGGCCACCTCGCGACCTTGGGCCTCTCAGTGGATAGCTGCGATGGAGCAGGAGATGGCACTTGGAGGTCCACCGGCACTTACGTCGACGCAGTTCCCCCGTCTGGGGTGAACGTAGTCGATGGTCGGTGGCTCTTCAAGGTGAAGCGCCCCTCTGGAGAGCCGCTTGTCTTCAAGGCGCGCTACGTGGCCAGAGGTTTCAGTCAGCGCGAGGGGGTTGACTTCTTCCAGACCTTCGCCCCGACCCCGAAGATGACCACTCTTCGGGCGCTGCTACACGTAGCAGCACAGCGCGACTACGAGCTTCACTCCCTTGACTTCTCTACTGCCTTTCTTCAGGGCAGCCTACACGAGCAGGTCTACCTGCGCCGACCACAGGGCTTCACTGGTACCTTCCCCCCTGGGACCCAGTGGCTTCTCCGGTGCCCGGTCTACGGTCTGCGTCAGGCTCCCCGCGAGTGGCACGACATGCTGCGTGCCACGTTAGCAGACCTGCAGTTCTTTCCGTCCTCTGCTGACCCTTCACTGTTTGTGCGTTCCGGCTAGACTCCGTTCTACATCCTTGTCTACGTAGACGACCTGGTCTTCGCTACTCCTGATAGGGATGCACTGGCCTGTGTGAAGGCTGAGCTGCTGAAGAGACACACCTGCATTGACCTTGGAGAGCTGCGTCGCTATCTTGGCCTGCAGATCTCTAGGGACAGAGCAGCACGCACCATCACTCTGACACAGTCACACTTGGTGCGTCAGGTCCTTCAGAGGTTCGGTCTTCAGTTCTCCTCCGCACAGCCCACACCTCTACCTGTAGACCATGGGCTCTCTGCTCCCGTTCCTGAGGAGCCAGTAGAGCTCAATGGCCCCTACGCAGAGCTGGTGGGTTGCCTCATGTACCTGATGACTTGCACTCGCCGAGATCTTGCATACCCTCTCAGCATCCTGGCTCGCTTTGTGGCTACAGGCAGACACCGACCTCAGCACTGGTCTGCCGCTAAGAGGGTTTTGCGTTATCTTGCTAGTACATCGGGCATGGGGTTAGTGCTAGGAGGACGCAGGCCAGTGGTCCTTACTGGGCACACAGACGCTTCTTGGGCAGACGGCTCTGAGACGCTCAGGTCGTCGCACGGCTACTGTTTCAGCCTTGGTTCGGGTGCTATCTCTTGGAGATCCACTCGCTCGTCGTCTGTGGCTCAGTCTAGCTGTGAGGCTGAGATCTACGCTGGTGTCATGGCGGCATAGGAGCTCCGCTGGCTGACCTTCTTGCTCACAGACTTAGGTGAGCGGCCTAGCTCTGCCCCGGTCCTGTATGCTGACAACAGGGCCATAATACTCCTGTGTTAGGAGCCTCGGCTTGAGGGCAGAGCAAAGCATATCCAGCTGTTAAATGGCGGGTAAGTGCGCCCATAACCCCCCAGGCTCTGCACCTGTGGCCCTTCTTTGAGGATCTTTTTAAGGGTAACCCAGCGGGTCACTCAACACCCCCCCTCGCTGGGATGGGTGGAAGACACAAGCGCCTCTGTAGCGCTAGCACTGGGACTAGAACCCAAGACCTTTGGCTTTGATACCATACCAGAAACCTAATCACTAACCACTGGGTTAAAAGGCTTGTTAAATGGCGGGTAAGTGCGCCCATAACCTCCCAGGCTCTGCACCTGTGGCCCTTCTCCGAGGATCTTTTTTAAGGGTAACCCAGCGGGTCACTCGACAGTGTCAAAAACCCAGTCACTAACCACTGGGTTAAAAGGGCTTGTTGGCGGGTAAGTGCGCCCATAGATCCCCAGGCTCTGCACCTGTGGCCTTTCTCCGAGGAACCTTTTAAGGGTAACCCAGCGGGTCACTCGACAAGGCCAACACTGATGAATCAGAGAAAATCTATACTTTCAAAAACTTACCCAGGACCATTAGAGTGGTATTCAAAAATGACTCTGATTTTCAGAGAATCAGAGTGATTTACTTTGATAAAATATGCCATGTACCCCTCGCTGTGCTTGCTGCAAAAACCTTCCACCTCATGCAGTATGGGGGTGATTCTATTGTTAAAGTAGCTAGCTAGTAAGAGGCGCCATGAAATGGCGAGGGGTTTTAGGTTCTAGGAAAAGTTGAGAGGAAAGAGTGTGGAATAGAAGAGAGAGAGGCATACAAGGAGGGAGTTGTACCCTCTACAGTAGAGTTCAGTAACAACTACCAAGACTATAAATTATATATAACTTATATAATTTTAACACACCCCTAGGCTTGGTAGTCGAAGGACCCACACACACCCACACCCCCTAACCTAGCACCCCCATTCCCTGCAACAGCAGCGACGGTTGACAGCGGGGTCGACCTCTCCACGGGCGGGGCGGCGACGTCAACGACGAGGGTGCGGTGGTGATGACGGCGGCGACGGCAATGACGATAGCAGCGGCGGCGGCGGCTTGCGGCGGCAAGTAAAGCCAGCGGCAACAGCGGCGGCGGCGGGGGCTTCGACAACAGCAGCGGCGCTCGCCCCACTCGGCGAAGTGGCCAAACTCCGCGACTGTGGGACGGCCGGCGGGAGTCAGCCGTCGGCTGCGGCGAGGAACAGGACACAGGGGAAGAGGGGCGGGGCGTGGTCCAGCCTCACGCTGGAGGCTGGTGTGCGGGCGGCAGGTTTGGCGGCGCCACAAACGTCAGGGCGCTGGCCGCAGCACGGGGACACGGCGCGAAAGGTGGAACGGCGAAGCCGCCACGTCAGGGCGGCAAGCCCAGCACGGCTGCTCGACGTGGCAGCCATGCAACGAGGCCGCCACGGCACCTCGACATGGCCGCCACGGCTGAGTGTTGAGGTCGCCATGGCAGCGCGGAGAGGGACGGCAGTGGCACGAAAAGGACGGTAGAAAAGCGCGGCGGAAGCGTGAGGAGCAGACCCGCTAGGAGCGAACTGCTCTGAAACCATGTTAAAGTAGCTAGCTAGTAAGAGGCGCCATGAAATGGCGAGAGGTTTTAGGTGCTATGAAAGGTTGAGAGGAAAGAGTGTGTGGAATAGAAGAGAGAGAGGCATACAAGGAGGGAGTTGTACCCTCTACAGTAGAGTTCAGTAACAACTACCAAAACTATAAATAATATATAACTTATATATTTTTTACAACTATACCATGCAACCAAACACTTGCATAATTTTTGTGCTACCCAGATTTCCTGTCCATAGCAGGTGCGGTGACGCGTTGTTCGGCAACGAGCTTGACGACTGCAATTTGTGCATCGCCTCTGGCCACATCAGTTCCATCGCCTTTGGCCACATAGGGTTGGGTGTTGTCTGCAGCGGATTGCCATATGAAGGAGAAGAACTGTCAAATTTTATATGTTAGTATATAATTGTAGGCTTGGTAGTGGTTACTGAACATTACTGTAGAGGGTACAATACCCCTCTTTGTATCCCTCTCTCTTCTTTCCTAATCCCTTTTTTTTACTCTCGACATTCTCGTCTACCTCCTAGATCTAGATCCCACGCCATTTTCATGGCTCCTCCTATTCCTACCCAGCCTAACTTCAAGACAAGAACTTCTCCATGACATTTGGATCGAAGTCCGAAAGGGGAGCCACCTGATTCGTGGGTGCCCTTGCTGTTGTGTGGAGTAGTTGCTGCCTTAGTCTAAAGCTCAAAGACTTAAGGTGTGTTGGAGTGGTTCCGCCACCCACAACGGACTACTCGTGACTTGGGGTGACGAGGAGAGAAATGCGGACTTGGGGACGAGAAGGAACTAGGAAGCGGGTATTGCGTGAGCGTGAGGTGTACGGAAAGGAGAGAAGAAAGAGAGAAGGTTGAAGGAAAGAGTGATTGAGTGGAAGAAAGGAATGGAATTGACGAGAAACAGATTGACGTGGGGCAAAAGTTGGGTTTCGGACGGGGCGTGTTCAACAAGCATTCGGACTTCGGACCAGCGGCGTGTTCAGCAAGATAGTCGCGGTTGCCTGTGCGACTCGGCCTGACACGAGGCGCGCGAGTTACTCGCAGCGCACACGGCAGTTACGAAGCGCGAAATCGTTTGTACTTCCACTATAAATCTGTTTGAACATTTGTGCTTTGTATCTCATTGTTTCTAGTGGAAATTGCTGCCATTTCGTATTGACGATTAGCAGCTACTTTGAGATCACTTTTGGAGGCAAGGCCCTTGAGGCTATTTGCACAAGTATTTCCAAATACTTTTTCGCTGCGCCGGAGGCGATAGTCGCCTAGAACTGGTATCAGAGCTAGCGTCGGAGTGCTGGCGAAATTTCTCCGCGACTCTATTTAGTGCGCCAAGTGGAGCCGGGTGTAAGGGCGTTGTAGCATTCTAAAGAGTAGGACGAAGCCTCAAGAATGACAGGCGATATTGGAGAGGCTAGTTCGGGCTCCTCTGTGAGCATTGGAGACCCCCAGGTTAAGGCTCTTTTAGAATTGCTAGCGCATGGGTCGTTGGTAGCGAAACCAACGATAGGGCTCAGTGAAGCCCAGCGTTTTAATAGCAGTAACTATAGTACGTGGCGCTTGAAGTTCATAAGGAGAGCGAAGGAGGTAGGATTATGGCAATTCTACCGTCGAGGTGAGAAGGCCGAAGGAGTAGCAACTACAAGCAACCAAGAGGAGGATTCTGGATATCAGAAAAGGAGTGAGCAAGCATTCTTTCAGTTGTGCCATTCTGTTTCTGATGGAATTGCTGTGGGCCTGGATAAGTTTTCAGGCGAGAAAAATCCGGCTCAAGTGGCGTGGGCATACATGGAGTCAGCCTACCTCGGCCAAATGGAGATGAACATCGCTGCGGTGAGGAGGAAGCTGCTTTTGCTGAGTATGGAGCCGAAGGAAGCCGTCATCGAGTACATCAATCGAGCCAAGAGCTACAACGACGATTTGGCCGCAATGGGAGCTGAGGAGAACGAAAAGGCAATGATGGGTTACATTGTCAACGGGCTCTCGAAGGAGTGGGCATCAGATCGACCTGCGTTGATTTGCAATCCACCTGCAAATATGACGAAGCTTCTGGAGATGCTGCAAGCCTTGGCGATATCCAAGGAGGATGTGACACGACGGGAGAAAGCGGCCCAAGGAGAAAATGGGGCTGCGGGTGTGGAGCAGGAGAAGCCTGCAATGGTGAATGCAGTCGCTGCAGGGAGAGGCATGGGTGCATGCTTCCACTGCGGCAAGATGGGGCATAAGGCATTTGACTGCTATGATAACCCGAGGAGCCGCAACTACAAGGGGAAAGGTGCTCCTGGTATGGGATGGAATGGAGTGCAGCAGAGTGGGGAAGGGGATAGCAGAGGAGATAGTAGGCAGCAGAGGGGAAAGTTCTTTGGAGCTTGCCACCACTGCAAGAAGATAGGGCATAGAGCTATCGATTGCTACTCGAACCCCAACAGCCGGAGTTACAGGGGAACACAGCAGCAAGGTTCGGCACCGGCAAAAGGCACATGCAGCTGAAGCAGAAAAGAGGGAAGCTGATGTTATTTTGGGTGGTGCACATAAGGCGAATGTTGCGCGTGCATCAGGGGTGTGCCTGATGGCAAAAGGGGGTGGAGAAGCTGCATGGTATATGGACAGTGGGTGCACACAGCATATGACCAATCACAGTGAGTGGCTGAATGCTTTGAGGGCATCAAGTGTGCCGTATGTGCTTGTGGGAGATGATCGGAAATTGCTTGTGAAGGGAGAGGGAGATCTGATTTTGCAAGGGCAGTATGGGGAGTTGAAACTGGAGAATGTGCTGCTGGTTGATGGTCTGTCACTGAATTTGATCAGTCAGTCACAGCTTGACAACACTGGATGCAAGACATTCAGTAACAAGGGCAGCGTGTGGATGTTTGACCATGCGTGGAATGTGGTTGCTAAGGGCATGCTGAAGAATGGGTTGTATGAAATGCTGTTGAATGAGAAGGGCATGACAGCTGAGAAGGTTACCTACCAGCAGCCGACGGAGGAAGGGGTGCTGGCAAGGGAGGAGCTGCGGGCGAGCTTGAAAAGTGTACCTGTAGAGGAGCTGCGGAAGGAAGCGGTATCGATGGTGGCAGCAGCGGCTAAGGTAGACATGGAGACCCTGCATAGGAGGTTGGGACATGCAGGGATGGAGCGGATTAAGGAGTTAGTGCAGAAAGAAATGACAGTTGGAGTGGAACTGAAGGATGGGGATGGGAGCAAGGGGAAGTGTGACAAGTGTGTGGAGGGCAAAATCACCAAATCCCCCCATCCCAAGCATCAGGTGCAGGAGCCATATGGAGCGCTGGAGATAGTAGCAGCTGATGTGTGTGGGCCGCTGAGGGTGGCATCCAGGCACGGGAGCAAATACTTTGTCACCTTTACAGACTTAGGGACTAGGCACACATGGGTGACTGAGCTTAAGGATAAGACGGAGGTCTTCTCTAGTTTTCTGGACTGGATGGTGGAAGCAGAAAGGCAGAGTGGGAAGCAGCTGAAGGTGCTGAGAACTGACAATGGTGGGGAGTTTGTCAATGAGGAGTTCAACAGCTACTTGCGCTCCAAGGGAATTCTGAGGCAATTGACAGTGCCTTATACTCCACAGCACAACAGTATAGCGGAGAGGGTGAATAGGTCACTGCTGGACTGTGTAAGGACATTGCTAGCGGACAACGGATTACCACTGAAGTTCTGGGGAGATGCCTTGGGGATGGCTTGTTGGGTCAAGAACAGGCTACCTACCAAGGGCTTGGCAGCAGATATGACCCCACATGAAGCATTCTATGGGAGGAAGCCGAATATGGGGTTGGCTCGCGTATGGGGCTGCATGGTGCAGTACAGGGAGCCAGCTGGACCAACCCATAAGCTACTACCTAGAAGTAAGTGGGGGCTTAACCTTGGGATGTGCATGGTGAGCAAAGGATGGGTGATCAAGGATGTGGAGATAGGGAAGGTGGTGGTGACCAGAGATGTGATATTCTATGAGAATGTCACCTACTTGAAGTGGAAAGGGGTGAGTTCGGGAATTGCAACGGCAGGGGAAGCAGCTAACCTAGAGAAGGTGGAAGGGCTGCTGGAGGAGACATCGATTGAAGGGATTGGAGATGAAGTAGAGGAGATTGCAGAAGAAGAAGCACATATTTGGGTGTGGGAGCTTCCAGAGAAAATGGCTGCACAGGGGAGAAAGGAGATGGAGCAGCAGGAGATAGAGCCAGAGGAGAAGGATGCAACGACTGAGGTGGAGATGGCACCAAGGGAGAGTGAGCAGGGATCAACTGCACGAGATGGTCACGATCCATGGAAGCTGCTAGATAGTACAGACAGTCGTGAAGCAGAGAAGGAGATTGAGGAACTACTGGAGGATGGGGCAACAGCGATAGGGGTACTAGGACAGGACGAGCAAGAGGCAGCTGAGAAGGAGAACAGTGAGGTGGAGTCACCTGCTGAGGAGTTGGGGCGAGGGAAGAGGGAGAAGAAGAGAAACCCTAAGTACGTTCACTTGCTCATGACTCCATGGAAGAACGTGCATACCCATCTTCTCCTAACCATATCAGCAACTGCACTAGTATCACGGGCAAGACGGGAGGCGTATGGGCTGCCTAATGAGCCCTTAACAGTGGAAGAGGCCTTGACAGGACCACAAAAGGAGCAGTGGAGAGCTGCTATTCAGGAGGAGCTGGATACACTAGCAGAGAGGGGCACTTGGGAGTTAATGCCCATGCCAGAGGGAAGGAGTGCAGTCGGGGTGAAATGGGTCTTCAAGATTAAGACAGGAGACAAGGGGCAGCTGGAGCGGTTTAAGGCTAGGTTAGTGGCGAAGGGCTACACACAGGTAGAGGGGATCGACTACACCGATACTTATGCTCCTGTAAGCAAGCTGACGACTGCAAGGGCATTTCTCAAGGTTATAGCAGCAAGGAACTACTTTCTAGTGCAGCTGGACATCAAGAACGCTTTTCTGCATGGGGTAGTTAAGGAGGAGCTGTATATGGAGCAGCCACCAGGGTTTGAGGACGGCACTAACAAGAAGTGCAAGCTTATTAAAGCACTATACGGTCTGAAGCAGAGTCCCAGGGAGTGGAACAAGGTGATGGACGAGAGGCTGCTGAAAGGGGGATTTCATAAGAGTGAGTGTGACAGGGCGTTCTACTGGAGGGGAGCTGGAAAGGAGAAGGTGTACCTACTGCTCTACGTGGATGATATTCTAGTGGCAGGGGCACTTCCAGGGGAGGTAGAAAAGGTGTGTGAGCACCTCGCTGAAGTGTTCCAAGTGAAGCAGATTCCGAGGACGACGCTGTTTCTGGGGATGAATCTGGAGAGGAACAGGGAAGAGAGGAAGCTGTTCTTATATCAGCAGAAGTACTGCAAGAGGGTGGAGCAGAAGTTTGGTCATGGCTATGCGAAAGCCATTACTACACCGCTAAGTGGAATGGCAGAAAGTGATAATGAGAGTGAAGAGGATGTGCTAAAGTGGGATGGTCAGGAGCGGGCGCTGCAGATGTACCAGTCTATGGTGGGACAAGTTATGTACCCAGTCTCATGCACCAAGGTTGACATGGCCTATGCAGCAAGCTACTTGGGGCAGCACGCACAGCAGGGGAGGAAATGGAGGGAGATGAGGCGGACATTAGATTACCTGCTGCAGCATCAGGATGAGGGTTTACTATTTGAAGGAGGAGAGGAGATATTGGAGCTGGTGGGGTATGCTGATGCCTCACATGCATCATGCAAGGAAACCAGGAGAGGGGCATATGGATATGTGTTCCTACTCGGAGGGACAGCTATTACGTGGCAAGCTAAGAAGCTGGCAGATATAGCACTTTCAAGTGCTGAAGCGGAGTACATGGCATTGTTCTTTGCATGCCAAGAGGGAGTGTGGTTGAGGAGGTTGCTGAACGAGTTTGAGATAGACGTGAAGGGGCCTACAGTGGTAAGGACGGATAGCAAGTCAGCTATGGACTTGGCAAAGAACGACAACTGGCACGGGAGGACTAAGCACATGGATGTGAAATATCACTGGGTGAGGGAGCAGTTAGAGAAGCAGCAGTTCAAGTTCGAGTTTGTGCGCACTGAGGAGCAGGCAGCTGATTTCTTGACCAAGGTGCTGCCAAGGGCCAACTTTGAGTACTGTAAGGAGAAGGTCGGGATACGTACCTTGAAGGACATGCAGGGGAGTGTGAAGGTAACTTAGAGGGTGTGGCTGGCATAACCACAGGGGAGGTTGTTGGAGTGGTTCCGCCACCCACAACGGACTACTCGTGACTTGGGGTGACGAGGAGAGAAATGCGGACTTGGGGACGAGAAGGAACTAGGAAGCGGGTATTGCGTGAGCGTGAGGTGTACGGAAAGGAGAGAAGAAAGAGAGAAGGTTGAAGGAAAGAGTGATTGAGTGGAAGAAAAGAATGGAATTGACGAGAAACAGATTGACGTGGGGCAAAAGTTGGGTTTCGGACGGGGCGTGTTCAACAAGCATTCGGACTTCGGACCAGCGGCGTGTTCAGCAAGATAGTCGCGGTTGCGTGTGCGACTCGGCTTGACACGAGGCGCGCGAGTTACTCGCAGCGCACACGGCAGTTACGAAGCGCGAAATCGTTTGTACTTCCACTATAAATCTGTTTGAACATTTGTGCTTTGTATCTCATTGTTTCTAGTGGAAATTGCTGCCATTTCGTATTGACGATTAGCAGCTACTTTGAGATCACTTTTGGAGGCAAGGCCCTTGAGGCTATTTGCACAAGTATTTCCAAATACTTTTTCGCTGCGCCGGAGGCGATAGTCGCCTAGAAGGTGAAGAAGGCTCGATGCTTGAGCCGCAGTGGATGACCCCACCTCCTTAGATGGTGCCATGTCTTGTGATGTCTTGTAAGCCTTGATAGCTAGAAACCTCAGAGTAAGGTTGTGACCACAATAACAACTGATTGATGGGCAAACATGAGTCCATTTGTTTCACAAGCAAAAGAAGACACCAATAACGAGTATGTAAGCAGAACCCTGATTCATGGCATCTGTGGGCCCGATGCCACCAGCTCGATCCGCCTGATCGCCAGGCCAGCTAGCAAATTCATCTTACGCTCGTTTGCTTCTCGAGTTTCAGGCGACACAAAGCAGCACCAAAGCGAGCTATTAGCGAAGCAAGTCACTGGGGAAGCATTCTGACAGCGAAGCAAGCCGTCAGCGCGCGATGGAGCCGGGCGAGCTACCAGCGGATCTGACCATCGCGCACGCGGACCGAGTCGACGTCGTGGTCGACGAGGCCCCAACTCGCGCGCCTGCTGACGTGGCGGCGAGGGAGCGCGAGTGGAGCGGCGAGAGCGGGCGGCGCGCGTGCGGCGACAGAGCGAGCGGCGATCGCGCGTTCGAGTGGCTGCTGGCGCCCGTGGCGCCCGAGCGGTTCTACGCGCGGTGGTGGGAGCGGCGCGTGGGGCTCGTGCTCCGCCCGCAGAGCAGGTGGGGCGCGGGAGGGATGTTGAACGGAGGAGGTGCAGGGTTTAGCGGACAGGGGTTAATGGGGGGGAGGAAGGGGGAGGGGGGGGGGAGGTGGTCTGCAAGGAGAGGGTCTAGGGTCTATCGGGGATTGTTGGAGAGGAGAGGGGGATTTGGACCGGAAAGCCCCTTCTCCTTTCGTTATTTTCCCTCCCTTACCTCCTATCCCCTATCCCCTATCCCCTGCCCCCTCTCTCATCTCCCTCTCCCTTCCCGCCCCTCTCCCTCACTCCCCCTCCCTTGCGTCGTGTCCCCTCCCTGCTCCCCCATCCCCCCATTGCCGTGCTGGCCCCCCACAACGCCCTTCCCCACCGGCCCACCCCGTGCACTCCACGTGGGCCTACTACGGTGGGTGGATTGCCCGCACTCACATTCACATGATCCTCCACTCGCGTGCCACTCCCACAGCAGAATCCCCTCCTCTTCTCTCCCTCCCCCCCTTTCCCCATTCCTCACCTCCTCATCTTCCTCTCTCGCCTTCCCCCCTCTCCCCGTCCTCCCCCCCGTCCTCCCCCCCTCCTTCCCCGCCCCCCCTCCTCACAGGGAGTACTACTCGGGGTGGTTCGGCCGTGCGGACATTGACCGGCTGCTGAGAGCGGGGGTGCTGCACTATGGCACCAACATCGACGTCGTGCGGTACAGTGCTGTGGACGGCGGTGCACGGGAGACGCTCAACGGGGAGGGCGTGGCAGGTAGGTGCGGCAAGGGGCGGTTGAGGATGGAGAGAGCAGGAGAAGGGGAGGGGGGGAGGGGGGAGAGGGGTGAGGGGAGGGGGGAGGGAAAGGGGGAGGAGTGGGTGTGGGAGTGCAGTTGGGAGTGAGGGCGGTGGAGTGGGGCAGAGACTGGGGTTGGGAGCGGCGTTGAAGGAATTGCGTGGTATTTGGCCCGAACATGCGAGTGTGATGCGAGGTTCTGGAATGAGTGGAAGACATTCCTTCATATATTCTGCTGCTTGCTGGGTCTGTCCTTCTGCCATCTGGCCCCCACCACCTCTCCTCATTGCCCTCCGTGCCCTCCCTGCTCTCCCTGCCCTCCCTGCCATCCCTGCTCTCCCCGCTCTCGCCTTTCGTCCCGTCCATCCCACCAGACTCTGACACGGTGTGGGGAGCGTTCAACAAGGGCTGCTCCTTGCAAGTGCTGCACCCGCAGCGCTGGAGCGACCAGCTGTGGCTGCTGCTGGGGGCGCTGGAGCACCACTGGCAGGGCAACGTGGGTGCGTGAAGGGGGGGTGAGGGGGGGGGATGCATGGATGGGCGAAGAGTTGGGGGGGGAAGTGCGGGAGGGAATGAAGGTTGGATGGACGGTGGGTGTGTGGATGGATGGGTGAATGGGGAGTTAATATCGCGAGCACCTTGTGTGGCATGGGAAATACGTGCAAGCCACACCTGACCTTGCTGTCTGGCGCTGCGTATGTTCGCGCGCGCGCGTGTGTGTGTGTGTGTGTGTGGGTGCGTGTGTGTGTGTCCGTGTGTGTCCGTGCGTGTGCATGTGCGTGCGTGCGCTTGTGTGCGCGCATATGTGCGTGCGTGCATATGTGCGTGCGTGCGCTTGTGTGTGTGCATCCCTACTTCCCCAGGCTGCAACGTGTATCTGACCCCAGCAGCCTCACAGGGCTTCAGCCCGCACTACGACGACATCGACGCCTTTGTGCTCCAGATCGAGGGCTGCAAGCGCTGGCGCTGCTACCGAGGGGTCAAGGAGGGGGACGAGGGGGATGACGAGGACGAGGAGGAGGAGAGAGGAGAGGGAGAGGAGGAGGAGGGGGGGGAGATGGAGGGGGATGAGGGGGTGCTGCCTCGGTTTTCTAGCCGCGATTTTCTGCAGCGGGAGCTGATAGAGCCGCCCATACTAGACGTGGTGCTACAACCAGGCGACCTGCTGTGAGCTCTCCCACGTCTCACCTCCCTGCCTGTTGTGCATGCACGCTGCATCTTTGATCGCTGATTCAGCCACCCGTACTAGATGTGGTGCTGTGACCAGGCGGCCTGCTGCGAGCACCCTCATGCCCCACCGCTCTGTCGCACTCCCCAACGTTGAATATTGATTTTAAGACCCTTGCATGCTGCTCTTGCTGTCCCCTCTCCCATACCTGTGTCTGTCGCTCTCTTCAATCCCCCCTCCCCCCCCTCCCCCGTCCCCCCCAACGTGTGGCAGGTACATGCCGCGGGGCATCGTGCACCAGGCGGAGGCAGTGGACGACCACCACTCGCTACACCTCACCATATCCGCATGTCCGTGCCACACGCGCGCTGCTGCTCCCGTGCTCTTGCCATATGTGCTGCTATCTTGCCATATGTGCTGCTATCTTGCCATATGTGCTGCTATCTTGCCATATGTGCTGCTATCTTGCCATAGGTGCTTCTATCTTGCCATATGTGCTGCTGTCTTGCCATATGTGCTGCTATCTTGCCATATGTGCTGCTATCTTGCCATATGTGCTGCTATCTGGCTGCTGCTCGTGCTTTTCTGTCGATGCTACCTGAGCATAAGCACGTACATCGTTCTGGCACTCTCGTCTTCCCATGCTCCACCCTGGGCTCCTCCCTCTCACCCTCTTTCTCTCTCATGCACTCCCACATCCTCCCCTCTCACCCCTTCCCCCTCTCCCTCTATTCTGTCCCTTTCTTGTGCTGCCGCATTCTGCTCGCTCCCCTCAGCGCAGCGCAACACAATGGCTGACTTCCTGCACCTTGCACTGCCACGCGCCATAGAGGTGAGGGCAGGCTCCCATCTAGGACCTAGGTGTGCCCTACCATGCTGTACCCATAATGTATTGTCTAGTGCCTATCCAATACGAAGGACCATTCGAGGTGAGGGCAGGCTTGGGGTGGAAGATGGCATGGGGTTGGGAGGCGGCATGGGGTTGGGAGGCGGCACGGTACGGACTTGCGAGGCACTCAGCTTCCTTGTCTATTGTCCACTCCCTGCACCTCTCATCACATGCCGAAACGTCCCCCTGCACCCCAGCTAGCCCCCATTCCATTCCCGCACCGAGGCAAAAAAAGCCTGCTCCAGCAGGGCCCTTCTCACACATCACGCGTTGTGTCCTGCAATTTCTTCTCCCACCTTAATTTCTCGCTCCTGTTTGCTTCCACGTGCACTCTCTCCATCTCTCTTCACACCCCCCTCCCCCAGGTGGCAGCGGAGGAGCACGTGCTGTTGCGGCACAGCCTGCCGCGCGACCTCTTTGACTTCATGGGCGTCATGCACGCGCCGCCTCAACCCGACGCCGACTCGCCACCACATCTCCCTGCCGACTCCGATGCCGCATCACATACCGACCCTGCAAGTTTCAAGTCGGAGGAGCCGGCTGATGATCCCCGCCGTGCTGCCTTTCTGCAGCGGGTGCAGGAGGCAGTGCGGCTGGTGGCGGCGTGTGGCCCCTGGGATTCTGCAGCCGACCAAATGGCCTCCACTTTCCTGCGCTCCCGCCTCCCCCCGTTCACTGCCTCCACACTCTCCTCCTCGGGGCAAGTGCCGCAGGGAGGGGATAAAGGAGGGGGGGGAAAGGGGGAGAGGGGGAAGGTGCAAAGGAAGTCTCGCGTGCGGGTGAGTGTGGAGGGGGGATGCCGGCTGGTTGTGGAGGATGGGGTGGCGGTGGTATACCACATGATGGACAACAGGAGGGAGGCGCACAACAAGGGGGAAGGGCGGGACGCAGAGGGGGAAGACCAAGAAGAGGAAGATATGGATGATGGGCAAGAGGTGAGGATGGCGGAAGGGGAGGAGGGCGTTTCCACGGAGCAAGCACAACGGAAGGAAGGGGAAGAGGCGGTGGGGTGCACAGGAGGCGAGGAGGAGGAGGACGAGGAGGAGGAGCGAGGGGAGGGGCGGTTGGAGTTTGAGTTGCAGTGGGCGGAGCTGCTAGAGCAGCTGGTGCAGCTCAATGAAGCCACCGTGGTGGGGCCGCTCATCAAACGCCTCTCTGCTGATTGGGACGGGCCTGCTGCAGCAGCTGCTGCGGGCATGCTAAGTGTGGTTCAGGTGCTCTTGGACCATGGGGTGCTTGAAATAGTCATGTAGCATGTGTCAAACATATTTGTGTATGTTTAGTAGACTACACAGGGTCTTGGCATAGTGAGTACAACCCACTAGCTATATACCCCTGTATCCTCTCATGCTAGTCATTCGTTCTAACTCTGAGATTGTATCTTGAGTAGGTTAGGTCCCACCCGGCCACCCGCTCTTCCGCCTTAGGTCCTAGCCTTCCCCGTCGCCTAGCTCCTAGCTGCCCCACGGGCCCCGCCTCCCCGTTGCCTTGCTGGCCCCACGGCCCCGTTCCCTAGCGCCTAGCCGCCCGTGGCCCCGCAGCCCCGTCACCTAGCGCCTAGCCCCCGCGGCCCCGCTCCCCTAGCTCCTAGCCGCCCGTGGCCCCGCGGCCCCGTCACCTAGCGCCTAGCCCCCCGCGGCCCCGCTCCCCTAGCTCCTAGCCGCCCGTGGCCCCGTTGCCCCGCCTCGTCGCGCCTCATCGCCCCGCTGGCCCCGCGGCCCCGTCGCCTAGCGCCTAACCGCACGCGGCCCTGTTGCCCCGCCCCGTCGCGCCTAGCCGCCCCGCTGGCCCCGCGGCCCCGTCGCCTAGCGCCCAGCCGCCCCGCGGCCTAGCCGGCCCGTGGTCCCGTAGCCCAGCCGCTCCGCGGCCTCGTCGTCCAGCCGCCCCGCGGCCCCGTCGTCCCAGCTGGCCCACGACCCCGTCGTCCCAGCTGCCTCACGGCCCCGTCGCCCAGCCGCCCCACAACCCGTCGCCCCTCCGCGCCGCGGCCCCGTCACCCAGCCGCCCCGCGGCCCTGCTGCCCAGCCGACTCTGGCCCCGTCGCCCTGCTGTTCCGCGGCGCCGTCGCCCAACCACCTGCGGCCCCGTCGCCCAGCTGCCCCGCGGCCCCGTCTCCCAGCTGATCAGCCGCCGTAGTTCCCGGTCCCCGCCCGCTTCACCTGCCCTCTCTACCGTCTTGCACCGCGCCCCACCGCACTGCATCGCTCCCCACCGCATTGCACCGCGACCCACCTCACTGCACCGCGCCCCACCACACTCTACCGTACAGCACTCCTTCCCACCGTTCCTCGTCACTCCGTCGGTGTCTGTTCGCGGTTGCAGTGACCCTCATGGCGGACTCGGTGCTGCGCTTTGACGCGGAGGGTCAGCCGATAGAGTTCGAATCCTAGCTCGTCGATCTCCGCCGTCACCTCACTGGTCAGCGGCAGGACGGCCACTCCCTAGCCGTCCACACTGACGGTACGCTCCCCTGCCCTGACCCCCCTCTTGCTCTCCCCGCTGACCCCACGACTGCTGACCGTGAGTCCGTCGCCACTGCTGCCCTTGCACGTGCTGTCTTGCAGTCGCGTGACGCTGTCGCTCAGCTTGCGATTAGCCATGCCCTACCCCTGTCGGAGCGCCCACGCTTTAAGTCAGTCAGGACTGCGCAGGGGTTCCTAGAGGCTTTTGTCGAGCATTATTCCACCTCGTCCTCTGCCTCTGCCGGCCGCCTGATCCTTCCCATGCTCTTCCCTGATCTCGCGTCTTTCCCCACTGTCGCTCACCTGGCCACGCACCTGCGCACGCTCGACGCTAGCTGGCGCGCTGCCTGTATTGAGGCCCAGCTTCGTTTGTTCCAGCCCCCTATCTGCTCTACCCTTTACCTGCTTGCCACCCGCCTCCCCAACTACCTTGCAACTGCCCTCGACCACTTTCTTAGTCTGCACCCCGCTGACCTCACCCTCTTCGACTTTGTCGACACCCTGTCTGCCATAAAGACCTATCATCGTTCTATTGCCCAGTCTAGCGGTTATGCGTCGTTCCCTATCTTTCAGGGTTGTGCTCCCGCCCAATGCACTTACTCTGACGGTTCTACGGCTGTCGCTGAGAGAGCCCCTGCTGTTGAGACCGCTGCCGCGGTGGGAGCAGCGCGATCCCGTTATGGTAAGGCTCGCCACCCCAAGGCTGGGCGCGGCGGTGGTAGTGGAGGAGGGGGTGGAGGTAGTTTGTTCGCTAGCGGTAGTACAGACAAGGGGGCTGGGGCTGGTGCCTCGGAGCAGCAGCCCCAGTGGGAGCAGCAGCAGGTGCCACAGCTTGACCATCAGCAGCAGTCGCAGCGGAGGGTCGGCCGCCTCCTGCCTGGGTGGCCTAGCGCTGGTGGTGGTGGTGGTGGTCACGGTGATCGTGCGCGTAGCTCGTCATCGGGTGGTGGTGCGAGTGACGGGCGCTACCAGTATCAGCTCCAGACCGGTCCTCGCCGCGGCCTCCTGTGCGGTAAGACCGGTCCTACCCCCACTCGCTGTTTCTGTCGCCGAGACGACCTGTTTAGTCTCCGCTTCGGCCCCGCGCCGGACCGCCTCGACGGGCACAGACTGCTCCGCCGTGGTGTTAGGATGTTGGATATGGACATGGATGAGATAAGCTCTGCTTTGTATATGTTGTATGTCGATGACTCTAGTGTGACTAGTTCCTATTACCCCGTGTTGCTTAGTGTAGGTGTGCCAAGTGTGCCTAGTGTAGGCTCCCCTGCTGCGTCAGGCGTAGGACCATTTGCTTTGTTTAGCCTTGGCTCCACCCTAGCTCCACTGCCTCCAGCCTCCACTGCCGCGCTCTCCTTCACTCGCGACTCTGGCCCGTCTCGGTGTTTCTTTCGGGACCACACTACGCTTACGTCGCTTGCTGTCCCTGACGAAGTTGCCCTTGCAGACCCTTCGGGCAGTTCCTTTGGGCTCTCTTACAAGCCTGCAAATCCCCTCGTTCTCTCAGAATCTAATTGGTGTCGGCTGTCTTCCGGACCTCTGCGTCACCACTACGTTCCCTGTACACGAGAGGTACGCTGTCTGTCCCGAGGCTACCACTGGTGCCCCCCTCACCACGTTCCCCCGGGACCCGGAGTCTGGCCTGTTGACACTGGACACCGCGTCCCCCCCGGTTGGGACGCCCCTCCAGATGGCAGCGTCTACCCAGGTTGCTGCGGCTTGCTCGTGTCGGTCGCTTACTCACCCGTCGCTTTTGTGGCACCACTGCCTAGGTCACCCCGCCCTTACACGTCTCCGTCACATGTCTCAGCACGGTCTTGTTTTAGGTCTCCCTGCGTCGTTCTCATGCACCGTCGCCTCCATGCACCCCTTTTGTCGAGGGCCGGCTCTGCCATGCCCCCCACTCCTCCTCGTTCCCCCCCACCACCGCACTGTTACAGACCCTGCACATGGACATCTGGGGCCCTGCCCCCGTCCATAGGCCACGTCGTGAGCGTTACTTCCTAGTGCTTGTCGACGACCACACTCGCTACACCACCGTCTTTCCCCTGGAGCGGAAGGCCGACGTGCCCGACGTTCTTATCCCGTGGCTTGTCTCTGCGCGTGTGCACCGAGGTCTCCCTGTGTTGCGTCTTCACTCCGACCGTGGTGGCGAGTTTGCCTCTGGCTGCCTTGGTCGCTTCTGTCGTGTGGAGGGCATCACCCTGACATAACCCTGCCAGACCCTCCGCAGCAGAATGGGGTCGCTGAGCGACGCATCGGCTTGATCATGGAGGTGGCTTGTACCTCCATGATCCATGCCGGTGCACCCCATTTTCTGTGGCCGTTCGCCGTTCGCTACGCTGCCCATCAGCTTAACCTGTGGCCGCACCCTCAGCGGCCGCAGGTTTTGCCGACTCTCCTCTGTACCGGGTCTCCTGGTGACGCGTCTGCGTTCCATGTCTGGGGCTGCCTTGCTCACGTTCCTACCTCTGGCACAGACAAGCTCACGGCCCGCACTGTCCCCTGTGTCTTCCTAGGTTTCCCCCTCGACTCATCTTACTGGCACTTCTACTACCCGCTGTCTCACCGTTTCTTTCACTCTTGCGACGTCACCTTTGACGAGTCCGTCTCCTTCTACCACCGCCTTCCCCACCATAATCCCCCAATCCCCCCCCTCCCAGTTCCTGGTTCCCCCCCCTCCCCCGGTCGCCCCTGTTCCCCCCACTCCCCATCCTGCCCCGTCTGGTGTGTCTCACGTCATCCCCCTCCCGTCGGTTGTCCATGCCGAGGGGTCTGCTGACTGTGGCGGCTCGGCGGAGTCCCTTCCCCTGCTTGTCCCCACCCCGGTCTCTACTCCCTTGTTGCCGCCGTTGCTGTCATAGTCGCAGCCGCAGCCGCCTCCGCAGCTGCCGTCGCCGCTGCAGCCGCAACCGCCTCCGCCGCTGCTGTCGTCGCCGCAGTGGCAGCCGCCGTCGTCACCGCCTCTCGGGTTTGTGCGTTCAGGGGGTGCTGGGGAGCGTGCTTGAGCGGGTACTGGTGTGGGTTCCCGTTCTGGGGGTGCTGGCGTGGGGCTTCCTAGAGGGAGCCGTGGTCCTGCTGGAGGTTCAGGTGTTGGCGTCGGGCAGCAGTCGTCGCAGTTGCCGCCGGTGTCCGCTCTTCACCACCTCGGCGTTCCTACTTCTGACCGCCTGCCGGTGCCTCCTCAGTTGCCGCCGCCTCCTCCTCTGCCAGTCTACGGCCCTGTGTTTTCTACCGTTAACTCTTCTCCGTCACGTTTCCCTCCTCGTTCTCCTCCTGTGTCTCCTCCCCTCTCTCCTGCCCCGACTCCTCCGTCTCACATCTGGTCTTGTCGTCCGTCTCGTGCTCGTCCTACCTCCCCTGTTCCACGTTCTCACCCTATTTTGCTTCGGTCTCACGCGTCTTGTGCTCCTTCGCTCCTCCCGTCCCCTCCTCCGTTGTCGCTCGATGTGGCCCCGCCTCCGTTCTCTGACTTCTTTTGTGCTGCGCATCCCCTTGTTCCTCGTGTCCTTGCCTCCCTTGTTACCGACCCGTCTGTTCTTGTCTCGATCCTTGACGCTCTTGTCGCTGCTGTCGCTGACTTTGCCATTATCCGCCGCCTTGACTATGCCACCGCTCTGGTCTCTGACCCTGCCTGCCCTCCGTTCGTCGGGGGTGTGGCTGCCCTTGGCAGTGATGTCGTAGAGGATAGATGTGAGAGTACGACCTCGTTACACCAATTTCCCCTTTCCATATTTCCTTTCTATTTGATTCATCTTTTCATCCTGACTCATTTGGTCTCTATCTCATCTCATTTGGTTTCCTATTCATCCTTTGGTTTATCCTGTTATTATGATTATATCACCGACCAGGCTCGGGATGTACTGGCGCGCTATATCTAGCGTAATCCTGCCGTAATCCCTTAAAGCCAATAGCCTCGCATGGCTATACGCAGGATGATTCTATTTCTAGAAGGGTCTATTCCCTTTGGATAGGATAACCTGGTTACCTGATGTACTCTAGAAGTATAAAAGCACCTTGTATTGATTGATAGTGCAACATTGAGCAAAACCTTTCCTCAATACATTCGATCCTGTAACAATAGACAATTCGAGCTTGCTTTCCTGTCAGAGGCTGCTCCCCATCTCTATTCCATGCTGCTAGTCCCTGAGGGTGACCCAGACGCCCTTGACATCCCGACCCCTCGCACCTACGCTGAGGCCACCTTCGGACCCTGGGCCTCTTAGTGGATAGCTGTCATGGAGCAGGAGATGGCATCTTGGAGATCCATCGGTACCTTCGTCGACGGAGTTCCTCCACATGGGGTGAACGCAGTCGATGGCCGATGGCTCTTCAATGTGAAGCGCCCTCCTGGAGAGCCGTCAGTCTTCAAAGCGCGCTACGTTGCTCGTGGCTTCTATCAGCGTGAAGGGGTTGACTTCTTTTATACCTTCGCCCCGACCCCGAAGATGACTACTCTTCGGGTACTAGTACACATAGCAGCACTGCGTGACTACGAGCTGCACTCACTCGACTTCTCCACAGCTTTCCTCCATGGCACTCTACACGAGCAGAACTACCTGCGTTGCCCCCAGGGCTTCTCCGGTAACTTTCCCCTTGGTATTGAGTGGATCCTTCGGCGCCCTGTCTACGGCCTGCGCCAGGCGCCCCGTGCGTGGCACGAAACACTGCGTGCTACACTTGCTTACCTGCAGTTCTTCCTGTCGTCTTCGGACCCCTCGCTCTTTGTCCGCTCCGGCCAGACTCCGTTCTACATCATTGTTTATGTAGACGACCTGGTCTTTGCTACGGCAGACAGAGACGTACTGGCCTTCGTGAAGGCCGAGCTGCTAAGGAGACATACCTTCACTGACCTAGGAGAGCTGCACTGCTATCTTGGCTTGCAGATCTACAGGGACAGAGCAGCGCGCACCATTTCTCTCACACAGTCACACTTGGTGCTCCGGGTCCTTCAGAGGTTCGTCCTTCAGTTCTCTTCCGCACAGTCCACCCCTCTGCCAATTCAGTACAGACTCTCTGCTCCATTCCCGGAGGAGGCTGTAGAGCCTAGTGATCCTTACCCAGAGTTGGTGGGTTGCCTTATGTACCTGATGACTTGCACTCGTCCAGATCTCGCATACCTTGGCAGCATCCTGGCTCGCTTTGTGGCCTCTGGCACATACTGACCATAGCACTGGTCTGCAGTTAAGAGGGTTCTGCATTATCTAGCAATTACATCGGGCATGGGGCTAGTGCTAGGAGGACGCAGATGAGTGGTCCTTACCGGGCACACAGATGCTTCTTGGGCAGACTACGCCGAGACTCTCAGGTCCTCCCAGGGCTACAATTTTAGCCTTGGTGCAGGTGCTGTCTCATGGAGGTCCACCTGCTCGTCGTCTGTTACCAGTCCAGCTATGAGGCTGAGATCTACGCCGGTGCCATGGCGGGACAGGAGCTCCATTGGCTGGCTTTCTTGCTTATAGACTTAGGTGAGCGGCCTAGCTCTGCCCCGATCCTGTACGCTGACAACATGGCCATGATCCTCCTGTGTCAGGAGCCCATACTCGAGGGCAAAGCGAAGCACATCCAGCTGCGGTACTTCCTCCTGCGCGAGCTACAGTAGCGTTGCCAGGACCGTGTAGTACACTTGGCCTTCGGTGCCAACACAGCTGATATCTTTACGAAGGCGCTTGCACCTAAAGATCATCAACGGCACTGTGTACAGCTTGGACTCATTCCTGTAGCACCTCATTTGCTAGGACCTTGATTGTGTATAACTCTATATATATGATCCTGACTGGCCTTGTGGCTTCCTCCCAGTGGCTGGACTAGTAGTGCCGCTGTGGTCTAGTTCTTGCCTTGTTTGGACTCTCGTGAGGTTGGACTATTAGTGCCCCCTTGAGCTGTTTGTCTCTCACCAGGCTCTGCCTCTATATAGACTAGGGGGTGTGTCAAACATATTTCTGTTTGTTCAGTAGACTACATAGGGTCTTGCCATAGAGAGTACAACCCAGTAGCTATATACCCCTGTTTCCTCTCATGCTAGTCAGTCGTTCCAACTCTGAGAGCATGCTCGACTCGATTGCTTGTGCAATTTTCTCAATGTTTTTTTTTCAGCAGGTGCGCTGTGCACACCTTGGTTCCCTCCGAAGTTGTCTAGATGCTTTTGAGGCACATGAATATTAAACCAGGTTGCTGCAACTATTTGTATGATTCAAGAGCCTGAATTGCAGTAGGGAGTGCGAAGGTTCGCTGGGTTAGCTCAGGCGTATTTGTACTTTCTTGGAAGTGATTAGCGCTGGAAGTGATTAGCGTTGTAGCGTGTATTGCCTGACTCAACCTGGCCGAGTTTTGCGTCGCGAAAAAAACAGCTGGCGCAGGTGGCGCAGCGCCTTTCTTCCGCCTGACGTAATTTGTTGGTGTGGCAGGCAGTCAGAGCAGGTCGGTGTGCTGGCTTGTCGGTCAAATTTATTGTCGCTCACGTCTGTAACGTTTCGTCAGGAGATCGTCATGGTCGCATGAAGCCTTGCGACAGAGAACTCGCTGACCACTCTGCCACTGCTCGATAGGCACCACCTCCCCATCGAGGTCCATACGGGTCGCGTTCAACCTGGCTACCTTGCCAAATTGAAAATCAAGGTGTCGCAAAACAGTGTACGAAAGCGGTTCCGGCGCGGCGGGGCACATGAAAACGAGCCGCGCGACGTTCCTTGAAACGTTACAAAGGAAAAGGTCCACTTGGTTGTTGATTGGAACAGAGCCGGGCTGGGGATGACACCGAAGAACTGAATGGCAGGGAACGCGCTCCACCATGGCACCGCGTGGTTGGGCTGCCATGCCACAGATGAAGGGGACAGGCACACACGACACTTGGAGATTTTGGAAAATTCACCACAACGCACCCGCCGCTTTTGACGGGCCTATGGACTGTGCTTCATACACGCCGAGTGACTGCTTCCTTGGCGCCATAAACCTGGACAGCACAGCTCGAACCCGCTAGGAGACCAGCTACCGCCACGAGCCTGCGGTTCGCGCACACTTGGAGAGTCGCCGTCCGGCGAGCACGTTCCGCTGTCCTCGTGGCCTTCCCTCGCAATGGCTCCCCCCCTCGTGCCTCGGCGAAGCCTGCTCGTGCTGCCGTGCCTCCTCCTCTCGCTCTCCATCTTCGCCACCACCCCTCTCGGCCATACCTCGCAAGTAAGTACCGCCGCCGTCACAACGCCTGTACCTCCGCGTCCTGCTCGCCTCTCGCCACGGCCCCGTTCCCCCTGCGACTCTACTGCGTCGAAAGCGATAACTTTTCCACACATAGCGGCGCCGTAAGCGCGGGGGGGAAAAGGCTACGACGCGAAGCGCTTACGATCCTAACGCGCGATCTTTTCTAACGCATCGCGACGTCGAACCTAGTGCCGCCCAGCTTCTCTCAGTTCGTAAGCCAACCTAATGCAGCTCGCGGCCCCATCGACGAGGCGGGCGGCCTCGACGGTTTCGACGGTTTCGACGGGAGGCTGCGCGTTGTCTCTCGTGTGTCGTGTGAACTTATCGGATGCCGCGACGGGGCGATACGCCGTCGACGAGACGCTCCCGCCTCGTGAACCGCTTCAAGAGCGAGCTTCGTCGTCGTCCGGTCTCTTTGGTGTATCCTTTCTAACGCGGATTGCAGCTGTCCGCGTTATAGCCCTCAGCAGGAGCGATCGTATGATTCACTGCAGAAGGCCATGGCACACCCGTCAATAGCAGCTGTTAGCATTTCGATAGAATCCTCGCCGTTTCAGCCGATTAGCTCACCCTCCCCGTTCCCCGTTTCCATCGTTGATCCCCCTCTTTCCCCCCCCCCCTCCCCCCCTCTCTTCCATCCCCACTCCCAATACCCTAAAATCCTTCCGTTTCAGCTCCATCCAACCTCCCCGCTTCGAATGCTCTCTCTCACGCTCATGCCCCACCCTGCTCTCCCCATACCTGCATGCCCTCCCCTCTCTCCCCCCTCTCTCCCCCCTCTCCCCCGCACTCCCCCGCACTCCCCCCGCGCAGTCGACCCGTTCTCGTTCCCCCTCGCCCGTTGCTACATGGCGCGCAATGCGCGAGGTGGCGCGGCCGGCGGAGGGGCGCTGGCAAGCGCCGTGGATGGGGGGAGGCGGAGCGGGGAGCGGGCGCGCGGCGGTGCACGGGCTGACCCACCGCGCACTGAGAGAGGGCAGAGAGCGGCAGGTGCGGGGGGGGAAAAAGGGCAAAGGGAGGGGAGGGGAGGGTGGGTGGCGGAGTAAGGCCGTGGCTGCGTCTTCTACTTGTTGGCTATCCTCTCTTGTCTACCCCCATTGCCCGCTGCTTCCAGCTACCGTCTTCCTCCGCCCCCCCTCTCTTCCTGCCTTGAGTCTCTTGCCTCTGCTCCTGCTTCTCTCTCCTCCTACATCATTCCAACTCCCAACCCGTTTCTCCCTCACGCTTTTTCCCCGTCCTCCCCACCCTTCCCCCGTCCCCCCGTCCCCCAATCAGTCCGCCCAATACCACATCGACGCGTCGCGCAGAGCGCGCCGTCGCCTGCTCGCCCCGCCCTCGCCCGCCGCCGCTGCTACGTCCGCGGCGGGGATTGGTAGACCCGCGCGCCGCAGGCTGGGCGGAGGCGGAAGCAGCAGCGAGGGCGGAAGCAAGGCGGAGCAGAGCGGCAGCGCGAAGGGCGTGGGGCAGTCGGCGCGCGACCCTAGCAGCAGCAACGGCGGGGGGACAGGCACAGGGGGCGCAGGAGGCGCAGGGGGCGCTGGCGGCGCCGGGGGCGCGGGCAGCGGGGCGCTGCTGGGGCCGGTGGGCGCGGGGAATGGGTCGTCCGTGGTGCCGTACGGCATGTGGGGGCTGGCGCTGCCCACGGGGTGAGAAGGGGGGGGGGTTGGGGGAACAAGTGGGACGTGCGCTTCGGGGGATGCAAGAGGGGATGAATGGGGGTGTTTGCGGGGTGGGAACGAGAGAGACGGGAGGCGGGGAAGTGAGGGCAGGAAGGGCGGGAGGGAAGGGAAAGCGAGGGACCGAGGGAGGGATGCGGTGAACTTGGATGCCTCTGACTCCTTGAGTTTGTGCACGGAAACGAGACAAGGAGAGCCCAGGATCGGGCACTAGCGTGTGCTCCTTGCATCGCCACTGCCATCACATCACCTCATGCCGCCCGCCCTGCTCCCTCCCACTCGCCCTCCACCCACGTGCCCTCTCCTCCCCCCCATTCCTTTCTCCCCACCTGTCCCCCCGTGCGCTTCTTCCCCTGCCCCCTTCGAACTCCCCTCGCCCCCCCCTTCCCCCCCCAGGTCGTACTACCTGAACATCACAGTGGGCGAGCCGGGGCAGTCGGTGGCGGTGGTGATGGACACGGGCAGCAGCCTCATGTGGCTGCCCTGCGACTGCATCGACTGCTCGCACGACGACAGGCTCGCCGTCAGTGCTGCCCTGTGCTGCATTGCATTCGTGCCGTGCCACTCTCTACTCGCCCCTGCCCACCGCGCCCTGTCATCCGCACATCCTTGCCTCCCTCCCTCCCCCGCCACCCTTCATCCTTCACCCGTCTTGCCCTCGCCCCTCGTGCTCCTCGTCCCTATCGTCCCCACCTTCCCCCTCGCCCCTCTCGTCTCGCCACGCTTGCCGCCCTCCTTCCCCCCCGTCAGACTCATCCCTCTCTTACCCTTCACGTAACCCCCCTCCTGCTCCCCTTCCAGATGACGGCGTACGACTCGGCCAAGTCGCCCAACTCCTCCATCGTGCCGTGCAGCAGCCCCCTCTGCCTCGCCGACTACACCTTCGGCTGCAACCGCTTCGACGCGCCCCCCGCCCCGGCCCCCTCCTCTGGCGGGCTGCTGGGGGCTCTCCTGGGGGGGGGAGCAGAAGGGGGAGGGGGCGAAGGGGGAGTGGCGGGGGGCGAGGGGGAGTGCGAGTTTGTGTACTCGTATGCGGACAACAGCAGCACGAGCGGGCGCGTGATGCTGGACACCATGGACCTGCCGTCCGTCAGCGATGGCATGATAAAAGAGAAGATGCTCTTCGGGTGCGAACGAGTGCACGCCATGCCACTCTGCATGCTGCCATGCCCTGCCATGCTGCATTCTTTGCCATGCTGCTTGCCGTTGCCCCTGCTGTGACCCTTGGTCACTCGCAGAGTGAGCTCGCATGCCGTTTCCTTACCCCCTCCCTCACCCTTCCCTCACCCATCCCACCGTCAATCTCCCCCCCTCCCTTAGTCATCTGCAAGCACGTGGGGGCAGCTGGGCATGGGCATGGGGCCCATGCGTTCCCCTCGTTAAGCCTCCTCCCTCCTCCCCCCCGCCTCCCCACCTCACCTCCCCCCACACGCCTCTCCGCCCTCTCCCCTGTCCTCTCCCCCGTCCTCCCCCCGCCAGGTGCGGGCAGTACCAGTCGGGCAACCTGGCGAAGGCGAGCTACATCTACGGGCTGCTGGGCATGGGCATGGGGCCCATCTCGCCGCTCACGCAGCTGTACACAGGCGGCCACGTGCCCTTCGCGTTCGCCTTCTGCCTCGACTCCGCCAACGACACGGGCTCGCACCTCGTGCTGGGCCGCTCGCCGCACCCCCCCACCATGCGCACCACCAGCCTCCTGCCCTCCGCCAGGTCCGCGGGGGAGGACGGCTGGGGAGACAAGAGGCGAGAGAGGAGAGGAGTGAGAGGCGCGAGGACGGGGGGGGGAGGCAAATGTGGGAGAGGTGTGTGGAGAGAGACGGGTTGAGAGAGAGGGGAAAGCAGGGAGGGAGGAACCCTCTGTGCTCCTTGTTCGTTCCCTGCACATGTATGGCTGCATGCTGCTGAAACTCATGCACCAGCGAGGGAGCGTTAACCTATCTGTTGCTGCCCTCTTCTCTACCCTCTCCCCTCCCCCATCCCCCCTCTCCCCTTTCCCCTCTCCCATGTCCCCTCTCCCCTCTCCCCTCTCCCCTCTCCCCTCTCCCCCCCCCCTCTCCCCCCGCCCCCTCCCCCAGCCGGCCGTTCTACTTCATGGACGTGCAGCAGATGAGCATTGCAGGCGCAGTGCTGCCAGGCAGTCAAAGGGCGTCCATGCTTCCTGAGTCCACTCTACCAACACCCTCTCCCCCATCCCTCTCTCCCCTCCCCCCTCTCCCCCCCCCCAGCCGGCCGTTCTACTTCCTGGACGTGATGCAGATGAGCATCGCGGGCGCGGTGCTGCCGGGCAGCGAGGGGCTGTCAGGCACGGACAGCAAGGGCGGGGTGATCGTGGACTCAGGCACCACGCTCACCATCCTGCCCAGCGACCTCTACGCCGCCATCCTGCAGACGGTGAGGCGTGGGGGAAAAGGGGGATCACGGGGAGGAGGGGGATCACGGGGAGGAGGGTGATAACGGGGAAGAGGGGGATGTCTGGGGAGGGTGTATATGGCAGCAGGGGCAGCACGCTCACCATAATTCCCAACGACCTCCATGCCGCTTTCCAGCAGATGGTGAGTGAAATGGGGGGGAGAGGGGGGAGCGGAAGGAGCGGAGGGAGGGGAGCCTGGGAAGGTTGGGAACGTGTAGGTTGAAGGGGCGCAGACAGCAGCGGGGACGGCAGCAGCGGGAGGGTAGGAGGAGCATGGTAAGGGTGGGAGGGCAAGGAGGGGCGTGTGCATGTGTAGGTGGTCGACTGGAATGCCCTCTTACTGTGCACTGCACTGTGCTCTGTACCGCGCTGTGCACATCGCCTCCCACACGTTGCACCTGCCCCTCCTCGCCCCTGCTCTCGTGTGCGTTCCTAGATACAGACTCAAAGAGCAGCGCCCATGCTCGTGCGCCCACTCCCATTCACCATCCCACAGCACCATGCAGCCGCACTCACCCACCTCACCCCACACCTCCACTCTCCTCCACTCTCTTCACCCCATTCCCCACTCCTGAGCCGTTCTTCTCTTCCGTATTCCTTTCCTCCCCCCTGTCCCCCCTGTCCCCTCTGTCCCCCCTGTCCCCCCTGTCCCCTCTGTCCCCCCTGTCCCCCCTGTCCCCCACCCCCCCCCCTGTTCCCCCGGTGCGGGCAGGTGTTTGCGGGGCGGGAGGTATTCTACATCCCCGAGCTCAGCCTCGACTGCATCGTGCTCGGATTCTTGTGAGCGCACAATGGGCGCATGGGGGAAATGGGCGCATGAGGGAAATGGGCGCATGGGGGAAATGGGCGCATGGGGGAAATGGGCGCATGGGGGAAATGGGCGCATGGGGGAAATGGGCGCATGGGGGGAATGGGCGCATGGGGGGAATGGGCGCATGGGGGGAATGGGCGCATGGGAGAAATGGGCGCATGGGGAAATGGGCGCATGGGGGAAATGGGCGCATGGGGGAAATGGGCGCATGGGGGAAATGGGTTCATGGGGGAAATGGGCGCATGGGGGAAATGGGCGCATGGGGGGAATGAGCGCATGGGGGGAATGGGCGCATGGGGGAAATGGGCGCATGGGGGAAATGGGCGCATGGGGGAAATGGGCTCATGGGGGAATGGGTGCATGGGGGGAATGGGCGCATGGGGGAAAGGGGCTCATGGGGGAAATGGGCGCATGGGGGAATTGGGCGCATGGGGGGAATGAGCGCATGGGGGGAATGGGCGCATGGGGGAAATGGGCGCATGGGGGAAATGGGCGCATGGGGGAAATGGGCGCATGGGGGAAATGGGCTCATGGGGGGAATGGGCGCATGGGGGGAATGGGCGCATGGGAGAAATGGGCGCATGGGGGAAATGGGCGCATGGGGGAAATGGGCGCATGGGGGAAATGGGCGCATGGGGGAAATGGGTTCATGGGGGAAATGGGCGCATGGGGGAAATGGGCGCATGGGGGGAATGAGCGCATGGGGGGAATGGGCGCATGGGGGAAATGGGCGCATGGGGGAAATGGGCGCATGGGGGAAATGGGCTCATGGGGGAATGGGTGCATGGGGGGAATGGGCGCATGGGGGAAAGGGGCTCATGGGGGAAATGGGCGCATGGGGGAATTGGGCGCATGGGGGGAATGAGCGCATGGGGGGAATGGGCGCATGGGGGAAATGGGCGCATGGGGGAAATGGGCGCATGGGGGAAATGGGCGCATGGGGGAAATGGGCTCATGGGGGAAATGGGCGCATGGGGGAAATGGGCTCATGGGGGAAATGGGCGCATGGGGGAATTGGGCGCATGGGGGGAATGAGCGCATGGGGGGAATGGGCGCATGGGGGAAATGGGCGCATGGGGGAAATGGGCGCATGGGGGAAATGGGCTCATGGGGGAAATGGGCGCATGGGGTGAATGGGCGCATGGGGGGAATGGGCTCATGGGAGGAATGGACGCATGGGGGGCACGATGCATGGGTGCAGTGCACAATGGGGGCCTGGGTGCATTGGTGTATGGGCAAATTGATACATAGGAGAGGCTTGGCTTACCATGACATGGCATGACAGTGTGTTGCTGTGGCCATGTTCTGGCGTTCCTGTCTCGGCATCTCCCCCTGCCCACCTGTGTCTGGGGCTTTATTGCCTGCATGTGTACACGTGTGGTTGCATCCATGCGTTTTTCTGCGTGCATGTGCTTGTGTTGTGTCTTCATATGGCTATCCGTGTATGTGCATGTGTGTGTGTGTGTATGTGCTTGTACGTGCATGCATGTGTGTGTATGTGCTTGTATGTGCATGTGTGTGTGTGTGTGCACATGGCGCCACCAGTGACGCCACCCCGCCAGCATTCCCGGCCATCCACATGGAGCTAGCAGACGGGGCTGTGTGGAGCATTCCCTCCGTCAACTACCTCCACAAATTCGTACGCCCCTTACTCTGCCCTCCCATCTCCCCATCTCCCCATCTCCCCACCCTCCTTTTTCCCCACCATCCTGACCCTCATCCTGTCACCTCATGTGCAGCTTCTGACGCCCATGCTCTCACGTGCCATCACACCATGATTCAGGCATTGCCATGATTCTCAGGCGCCTCCATACCCCCTCCGTCTCAATATCCCCTCTGATCCTCTGTGTCTCCCCTCCCCATCCCCTCCCCCCCAGGACGACGGGTTTGACCAGTACTACTGCGCGGCCATGATGGCTGCTCCTGATGGCTTTGCTGTGTCTGTCATCATCGGAGGTGCAGGGGGGAGGCATGGGGGGAGGCATGGGGGGAGGCATGGGGGGAGGCATGGGGGGAGGCATGGGGGGAGGCATGGGGGGAGGGAGGGGACCGTTGGGGAGGAGTGGAGTGGGGGAGGAGGGGTGTGTGGGAGGGAGGTAGCAGGGGAGGAGGGGTGTGTGGGAGGGAGGGAGTGGGGAGGAGGGGTGTGTGGTAGCGAGGTGAGCTTGGGGTATATGGGGGGAGGGATGTGATGGAGGAGTGGGTTGTATGAGGTTGACCAGGGTATTGATGGTGCAGGTGGAACATGGGGAGATGCATGCAGGGTGAAATGAACTAAGAAGTTAGCCACATGGGTTGCTCTCATTGATTGTTTTCTTTCATTCTCTCCTCCACACCCCGCACACCCTCTCGCTCTCTCACTCATCGTTCCCTCGACCCCTTTCTCCCTTTCCCCCTGTCCCCCATTTCCCCCCTCTCCCTTCCCACCTGACCTCTGTCATCTCTTGGAACCGGTCATCCTTGCGCCTGCAGTATTCATATCCTGACGCGGATGATTGAGGGTGTTTAGGGCCAATTGCTAGCTACCTAGGATGCTAGGGGCGTGTGAGTAACAGGCGTCACCCCACGGCGTGTAGAATTGCGTGGACTCTCCCCAAACATCCCTTCTCTTGCACTCTTATCTCCACTTCTCCCGTCCTCTGCTCACTCAAGGTCTCTTTCCCTTGTGTGTGCACGTGTGTACATGTGTGTGGATGTTTGCGCATGCGTGCGCGTGTGTGTGCATGTGTGTGTGCATATGTGTGTGTGCATACGTGTGTGTGCATGCATGCATCTCCATCTGCCTGTGCACGTACATCAGAGACGTGGCTACAGGACACCTACGTGTCTATAGACATCGAGAAGAAGCAGCTCGGATGGGCCCCTCTTAACTGTAACCTCCTGCCCTCCTCCTCTCCCTGCCACCCGTCTCCCTCCCTCCCTCACTCCACTGTCTTCCCCCTCGTTTCCTCCAAGCCGTGCCTCTCATTCTTTCTTCTCGTCCTTTTGCATGCACCTACTGAGCATGTCAACGTATCACATGGAGGAGCCACAGCCGATTGGCCATCCTCTGGTTTTCACAACTCACATTTCATTTCACCCCACAGCCTCCACTTGAGAATCCCTTCCTGCACTGCCACCCCACTCCACTCAGCCTGCACCGTCACTGTGCCCTGGTGCCTCTCTTCCTGCACCGCCACCCCCCTGCCAGGATACACGGCCGGCTCCTCTGCTGAATACCCCCCATCCAACTCTCTTGCTTGCCCCACAGCCCTCCCCTGTCCAAACTCCTCCCCTCCCCTCACCCTCGTCGCTCTTCCTCTCTTCCCCTCCCCCCTCCCCACTTCATGACTTTTCCTCTCTTTCCCTTCCCCCCCTCCCCCCTTTTTCCCCTTTACCCCCCAATCCTCCCCCCACAATCCCACTACGCAGGTTCATCAGGCGAGTGCCTGACATTCAACTACACGCGCGACCCCTTTGCTGACATGGTGTATCTGCTGCCCCCACCAGCCGCCCCCGCCCCGTCACCACCATCGTCTGTGCTGCCCTCGTGGGGCGACCCCGCTGCCCCCTCGTCGCCAGCAGCCTCCAACGACTCGGCCAATGCCAATTCCTCCTCTTCTCTCTGTCAGTGCCTCTCCTCTTCATCCAAACCCCTCTCCCATTGCTGCTTTCTCTGGCTTGTTCTCAGTGGGCTTGCATTGTGTTGTACCACACGGCACTGCATTCACCTCCCCCCTGGCTATCATATCATTCACGTGTCGCTCTTGTCGTTCCTTTCGCATCTGCTGGCTCGTAGCTTCACTCCTGACTCTACCCTCTCTCCGTCCTTCTCGCTTTTCTCCTCCCTGCGCGTTTTTCCCGGATTTCCCTCATTGCTTCCTTGCCTCTGCTCCCTCACATCCTCCCTCATCACTCCCCCACTCCCCCCCTTTCCCTTCCCGCCCTTCCCCACCTCCCCTGTCTGTGTGCTTGCTGCAGGGCCAACATCCATATGGAAAGGTAACATCATTTTAGTCTCCTGTCCCTTGTCTCGTTTCCCGCATCCATGGCTCTTTCCATCCAAGTTCGTGTAGGCGCCTCTGTTGAGAGCAGTTCAGTGAGGGGAGTGCTTTGATTTGTGGCATGTCCCCCTTGGCTGCCTATAGGGTGTGCACTACAGTGATTTTTTTTATCTTCAGATGTTGTGTGTTCACATCTCATGCTCATGTGAGGGCTTCTCCTAAAGCTCACAACATACCATCTCCATTGTGCCTGCAGGCTCTCATCACTCCATCGCGCCTCACTTCCCGGCTCCCTGTACAGTTCTTGTTGGTTTCCTGCTGCTGCTTTTATGATGGCTTGTTTGATTTGCCACCAGCAGCCACTTCCAAACCCAAACGGGAATGTGCGTGTGAATGCTGAAGGAATACTACCGTTGCAGCATCTCCCTGCTACTTTATTGCAAGTAAGGCAAGTTTTGGAACTCGGAAGTTCCAAGATGGAACTGCATGGTGAGCTGTGTTAAAAGAGCTAGAAAGGTTCTAGCTAGGAGTAGGAGGAGGAGCCATGGAAATGGCGAGAGGTTTTAGGCTAGGAAAGGTGAGGAGAGAAAAGGAGTCGAGAATAGAATAGAGAAGGATACAAGGAGCAGGGCTGACGTTTCAAAAAAAGGCACTCTGAGCCAATCCCCCCAAAAAACAAAATAGTCTGAAGGGCCTTCAGCCGAAATTTTTGTAGTCTGAAATGTCAGGGTCCAGAACTCAGCGAGTCTGATTTTTTCAGGGTCCAGGACGTACAACCAGAATCACACACGGGAAACACCCCCACAGCGAGAAACATCCCTCCCTCCTACACCTCCCAAAAAATCGGCTAAGTTCCTTGCAGCATTAAAAATCCTCCCACAGCCCGTGCCCCCCCCAACCAGCATGTCAACTTATACATATTATCTATGTAGAAGTTATAGGCTAGACTGAGGTATGCTTCTAGTGAGTACAACCAACTAGTATTTGTTCTAGGTTTCCACCTCTAGTAATCATTCGTTTCTACGTTAACATGGTATCACGCTTAGGTTAGGATCCCCCCGCCTACCGCTTCCGCCCGTCGCGCCTCCTAGGCCCCGTCGCGCCCCCTAGGCCCCGTCGCGCCCCCCCTGGGCCCCGTCGCGCTCGTTAGGCCCCGTCGCGCCCCCCCTGGGCCCCGTCGTGCCCGCTGGGCCCCGTCGCGCCTCCTAGGCCCCGTCGCGCTCACCCTAGGCCCCGTCGCGCCCGCTGGGTCCCGTCGCGACCCCTAGGCCCTAACGCGCCCCCGCTGGGCCCCGTTGCGCCTCCTAGGCCCCGTCGCGCCCCCCATGGGCCCCGTCGAGCCCGCTGAGCCCCGTCGTGCCTCCTAGGCATCGTCGCGCCTCCTAAGCCCCGTCGCGTCCCCCCCCTCTGGGCCCCGTCGCGCCCGTTCGGCCCCGTCGCGCCCCTCCTAGGCCCCGTCGCGCCCGCTGGGCCCCTTCGCGCTTCCTAGGCCTCGTCGCGCCTGCTAGGCCCCGTCGCGCCCCCCCTGGGCCCCGTCGCGCCCGTTAGGCCCCGTCGCGGCCCCCCTGGGCCCCGTCGTGCCCGCTGGTCCCCGTCGCGCCTCCTCGGCCCCGTCGCGCCCCCCCTGGGCCCCGTCGTGCCCGCTGGGCCCCGTCGCGCCCCTTAGGCCCCGTCGCGCCCGCTGGCCCCTGTCGCGCCTGCTGTTAGCGCTCGCCCGCCTGGCCTCCTCCTAGTGCCGCTCGGCCTCCTCCTAGTGCCGCCCGGCCTCCTCCTAGTGCCGCCCGGCCCCTTCCTAGCGCCGCCCGGCCTCTCCTCAGCGCTGCCCGGCCCCTCCTCGTGCCCGACCGGCCCCAGCAGCACCAGCCTGGCCCCTCCCAGCACCAGCCCGGCCCCAGAGCACCTGCCCGCCTCCCCTGCTCGGCCTGCCGTGTCCTCTCGGGCCCTGTGTCTTCTGCTTGCCTGCGCTGGGACGCCTAGCTGCTGCCCTACTGGAGAGTGCTGCCGCCGTGTCCCTGCGCCGCTGTGCTCCTGTGCCGCTGAGGAGCTGTGCTGCTGTGCCGCTGTGTCGCTGAGGAGCTGTGCCGCTGACCCTGCACGATGGCTGACTTTGTGCTCCGCCTGGACGCTGAGGGCCACGCGGTTGACTTCGCCGCCTGGCTCTCCGATCTTCGCCGCCAGCTTACAGGTCAGCGCCAGGATGGCCACTCTCTGGTTGTCCATGGTGATGGCTTGCTCCCCCGTCCCCCTGCACCTACTCCCCTCCCTGCTGACCCCTCCTCTGATGACCGTGAGGCTTTCTCTACTGCTGCGCTGGCCTGTGCGATCTGGGACTCACGCGATGCAGTAGCTCAGGTTGCTATTAGTCACGCCCTCCCTGTGTCTGAGCGCTCGCGTTTTGCTACTGTTGAAACGGCCAAAGCTTATTTAGACGCCGTTATTGCTCGCTATTCCACCCCTGCCTCCGCTTCTGCTGGCCGCTTGCTCTTTCCGATGCTGTTCCCAGACCTGGCTGCCTTCCCTACTGTCGCAGACTTTGCCACTCATTTGCGTGCCCTAGAGACTCGCTATCGCACTGCCAGCACTGCTGCCCAGCTCACTGCGCTCCCCCCTCCTTTCTGCATGACGCTCTATTTTATCGCTATGCGCCTGCCAGACCGCCTCGCTAGTGCTCGCGACCACTTTCTTAGCCAGCACCCGGGTGACCTCACCCTGACCGCCTTTGTCGACACCCTCACTGAGATCGAGACTCGCCAGCGCACTATCGCTCAGTCGAGCGGTGCGCCGCCAGTCTCTATCTTTCACGGCTGTGCCCCATCCCCGTGCACGTTCACTGACGTTTCGGCTGCGGTCGCCACGGCGACCCCTCTTACCGAGACGGCTGCTGCTGTCCACCCGCAGCAGCGCTCGCGTCGCGGTGGCCGTGGCCGCCAGGGAGGTAGGGGTGGTGACGCAGGTGGTAGTGGTCGTGGTGGTGGTGACGGTAGTCCGCCTGAGGGGACTACCACCGGTGGGCAGGAGCAGCAGTCCCAGCAGCAGCAGGACCAGCCCCAGCCGCAGCCGCCGTCCCAGCAGCACCCGCCGCAGCCGTGGGCTCGTCTCCCGCCTGGTTGGCCCGGCACCTCCGGAGGCGGTGGCCGTGGTGGCGGCCCGCGCAGCTTGGCGTCTACCAGCGGCTCCAGTGCTGTGACCTGCCAGTACCAGCTTCAGACCGGGCCTCTCCGCGGCACTCTGTGTCGCCGCCCGCACCCGACCGCCCGCTGTTTCCGCCGCCTCGACGATCTTTTTCGTCGTCGCTTTGGCCCGGCCCCGGACCTCCCTGACTGGCACAGCCTGCTCCGCCAGGGCGTGCCGATCTTTGAGTTAGACATGGATCAGATAGGTGCTGCTTTGCATGCTTTGTATGCTGACGCTTCTAGTGTTGATGGATCTTACTACCCTGTGTACTCTAGTTTAGGTGTTTCACCCTTGTGTAGCTTAGCTTCCCCTGCTGCGACAGGCGTAGGACTGCCTAGGTTGCCTAGTCTAGTCGCTGCACCGGCTCCGTCCCCGGCCCCCGCCACTGCGTCGCTGTCCTTCACTCTCGACTCTGGTGCTTCTGCCTGCTTCTTCCGCGACCGTTCCACGCTCACGCCGCTTGCTGCACCTGCTGTTGTCTCTCTCGCTGACCCCTCTGCGGGTCCGGTCGTCGCGCGCAGTTCTACGTCCCTTCCCTGTCCGGCAGTTCCCTCGGGCTCCCTTACTGGCCTCCACGTTCCCTCGTTCTCCAGGAACCTGGTTGGTGTCGGCTGTCTCCAGGACCTCGGCGTCACCACCACGTTCCCCGGGCACGAGCGGTTCGCTGTCTGTTCTGAGGCTGTCTCAGGTTCCCCCCTTGCGACGTTCCCCCCGGGACCCGGTGTCCGGTCTGTTTACCCTACACACCGCTTCCCCCCCGGTTGGTGCGTCCTCCCAGGTCGCTGCAGCTTGCTCGTGTCGGTCCCTCACTCACCCCTCCCTTCTCTGGCACCACCGCTTAGGTCACCCTGCTCTCCCGCGTCTGCGTCACATGTCCCAGCACGGTCTTGTCTTAGGTCTCCCCGCGTCGCTCCCTGCCCTTCCTCCCTCGACTGCGCCACCGTGCACGCCTTGCGTCGAGGGTCGGCTCCGCCGTGCTCCTCACTCCTCCTCGCTGCGTCCTGCTACTGCCCCCCTTCAGACCCTGCACTTGGACGTTTGGGGCCCTGCCCCCGTCCCCGGACCGCGCGGTGAGCGCTACTTCCTTGTGCTTGTCGACGACTACACGCGCTACACCACGGTGTTTCCCCTGGAGCGGAAGGCCGACGTGCCCGACGTTCTTCTCCCGTGGGTTCTGGCTGCGCGTCTCCACCGCGGTCTCCCCGTGTTGTGTCTCCACTCCGACCGTGGCGGCGAGTTCGCCTCTGGTCGGCTTGGACAGTTCTGTCGTGCGGAGGGCATCACCCAGTCGTACACGTTGCCGGACTCGCCACAGCAGAATGGGGTTGCTGAGCGCCGCATCGGCTTGGTCATGGAGGTCGCCCGTACCTCCATGATCCATGCCGATGCCCCCCATTTTCTGTGGCCGTTCGCTGTTCGCTACGCGGCTCACCAGCTTAACCTGTGGCCACGCTCCCAGCGGCCGCAGGTTTCGCCGACCCTCCTTTGGACCGGGTCCCCCGGTGACGCGTCTGCGTTCCACGTCTGGGGCTGCCTTGCTCACGTTCGTGCCTCTGGCACGGACAAGCTCACTGCCCGCACTGTCCCCTGTGTCTTCCTCGGTTTCCCCCTGGACTCGTCTGACTGGCTTTTCTACCACCCGCCGTCTCACCTTTGATGAGTCCGTCTCCTTCTACCGCCGCTTCCCTCACCGAGGTCTCCCAGTTGCCCCCCCCCTTTTCCTTGCTCCCTCTCCCCCGGTAGCCCCTGCCCCTCTCCCGCCTCGTCCTGCCCCGTCTGGTGTCTCCCACGTCACTCCCCTCCCGTCGGTTGTCCCCGTTGAGGAGTCTGCTGACTCTGGTGGTACCCCCGGTCCGTCCTTGCCGCGTCCCCCTTCCCCGGTGCCTCCGCCCCCACTGTCGCAGTCGCCGACCCCGCTGCCGCCGCCGTCGCCGTCGCCGCCGCAGCCGTCGCCGCTGTCGTCGACGCCGCCGCCGCTGTCGCTGCCGCAGCCGTCGCCGCTGTCGCCGCCGCCGCAGCCGTTGCCGCCACTGCCGCCGCTGCTCTCGGCCCCTGGGGGTGCTGGTGTGGAGGAGGGTGTTCGCCCTGCGGCTTCTGGGGGTGCCGCTGGTGTTGGAGGGGGTTCTCGCTCTGGGGGTGTTGGTTCTGGGGGTGCTGCTGTTGAGTGTTCTGCCGACGGTCGTTCTGCCTCTGCTGGTCCGAGAGTTCCGGCCCAGCCGTCGTCGCCGCCGCAGCAGCCGTCGCCGCCGGTTTCCGCTCTCCGCCTGCTCGGCCTTCCCTCCCCGGACCGCGCGCCGGTGTCTCCCCCACCGCCTCCTGACCTCCCTGTCTACGGTCCTGTGTTCCCGCCGCCAGACTCGTCTCCGGCCCGTCTTCCTCCTCGTTCCCCTCCTGTGTCTCCTCCGCTGTCCCCTGACCCTACCCCTCCGTCTCACGTTTGGGCTCGCCGTCCCTCCCGTGCTCGTCCCGTCTCTCCTGTCCTGCCCACCCACCCTATGTTGCTCCGTTCCCACTCG